CGGCCACCTCAGACGATACGGCGCCGGCGTTAGCGAATCAAGTTCCGGTTCCGGCCGCGGGTCGGACTGGCAAGACGCGGCGGGGAGTTCCAATCGGCGGGACCGGCGCTGCAAGGCTTGCAGGCCTGCAGCACACCAGTGCCGAGTCGTGCCGCACAGTGGGCCAGAAGACCGGTGGCGGCGGCCGAAACTCTAGACGCGTTTTGAGCTCCAAAGTGGCTAAACAGGACTCGAACGAAGTGTGTGACCCCACCAATGGATTGCTCTTCGACCGACGTCACACGTTTAGTTCGAGTCCCATTTAGCGACTCTGGAGCACAAAACGCGTCTGGAGTTTCGGCCGCCTCCACCGGTCTTCTGGCCCACTGTGCGCCGCGCCCAGTCGGCAAGCCCGGGTCGCACGAGTGGCACAAGTGGCGCCACCTTAACAAGGAGAACTAATGAGGATGCAGACTGCTGCTGCCAACCTGCAAAAGGTGAAAAAAAAAGAAACGAAACGGCAACCCAATCGGGCGCGACGCGCAGTGCTTCGAATCGCAACTTCCGTGGTTCTCTTCCCACTCTCCCCGCTCTTTTTGCTCTATTTTCGTTCCTCTTCCTTTTCGCGTCCTCGCCTCCTTACTCCACACGGCTGCCGCCCAACAACACACATTTAAAAAAATCCAAAAAAGGAGCGCAAAACAGAACGAAAATCCCCCTGGCCTCGTCGAGTCGAATCCTGTGTACTTGATGGCGCGGCCCTTTTGATGCGTGGCTAGGCTTGCCCTCCCTAATGAGAAAGGGATTAGACGGCACTGGCGTGTGTGTGTGTGTGTGTGTGTGAAATTGGCAGGCAGTGAGACGAGGGGGTGCTTGGCGGCAGCCAGCCAGGCTCCCAACAACTGACCCACTGCTCTCTCTCTCTCTCTCTCTCTCTCTCTCTCTCTCTCTCTCTCTCTCTCTCTCTCTCTCTCTCTCTCTCTCTCTCTCTCTCTCTCTCTCTCTCTCTCTCTCTCTCTCTCTCTCCCCTCGCTGTTTACCTCCTCGCAGTAAAAAGAGAGAGACGAGGAGTTGCTCCTCTCCCTTTTACTCCTTTTCCGCGAAGGCGACGACGCCAAGCACCATATTTGTTATTCGCGTGTGCCAGCTTCCCCCTACTTTTGCTTCCGTTTAGGTTTTACGTTTTACTTTCCTCCCTTCTGCTCGGCTGCGTTCCGTTTCCCCGGCCTCGCCGCCTGGAGCGCCTGCCATGCGTCGGGTAGGCCGTCCCGCCGAGCGCGCGTGCGCTGGGGGTGCGCTGTGCTGCCTACCCGGCAGGCGCTCTCACCGCGGCGCTGCTAGGGAGGCGGCCGAAAGTCTGGACGCGTTTCCAGCTCCAGAGTCGCTGAGTGGGACTCGAACCGAACGTGTGACCCCACCAATGGATTCCTCGTTCGGAGAGCAACCCATTGGTGGGGTCACACGTTCGGTTCGAGTCCTGTTTGGTGACTCCGGTACTCAAAACGCGTCTGGAGTTTTGGCCGCCTCCACCGGTCTTCTGGCCCACTGTGCGCGTCCCTCGTTTCACACCGCCCGTTTGGCTCCCCAGGGTTGGCCATACCCGGCGATGCCTCATTCACGCTGCGCGTGGGAAGGAGCGCAAAGCGTGCCAAAGCGGCCGGAGGCTCTGTGTCAACCAGTGCCGACGCCACGCCACGCCACGCGAAAGGCTTGACGATCTATTCGTGTGCGGCCTCGAGTACGGCGCGCTGCCGCCCCTCCCGCTCCTTAGCGCGCCGGGACGGCCAGGACGGCGAGGACCCGGAGCGCGCGGAATCTAAATTAATTGTTTTCTCGGACGCGCACAGTGGGCCAGAAGACCGGTGGAGGCGGCCAAAACTCTAGACGCGTTTTGAGCTCCAGAGTCGCTAAATGGGACTCGAACCGAACGTGTGACCCCACCAATGGATTGCGCTCCGAACGAGCAATCCATTGGTGGGGTCACACGTTCGGTTCGAGTCTTGTTCAGCGACTCTGGAGCTCAAAACGCGTCTAGAGTTTTGGCCGCCTCCACCAGTCTTCTGGCCCACTGTGAGGCGTCAAGCAGGTGCGAGAACGCGACGCCTCCGACTCGATCCACTCTTGTCCACTGCCAAATTTGGTTGTTCCTGTTGTTGTTGTTGTTGTTGTTGATTAATTGCTCGCCGTCCGAGTGAGCTGTTGGTTGCGAATGTCCTTTGATGTGTCCGACGTGTTCTTGTTGCAGCGTGGAGATGGCACTGAACACTGCGCCCAGGCCGGGGCGGCCCTGGCGACGGCCCCGCAGAGGGTTCGGCCCGGACGGCCGCCTGGAGGGGCTCCAGGGGCTCCAGGGACTCCAGGGATTCCAGGGACTCCAGTCGAGGCGGCCCCGGAACAGCGCCGGCCTCTACGAGGAGGACGAGGCACGCAGATAAGGTGAGACTGGCTTTCGAAGGGGGCCGGCCTCTCGGCAGCACGGAGCGGCCGACGCAGCACAGTGGGCCAGAAGACCGGTGGAGGCGGCCAAAACTCTCGACGCGTTTTGAGCTCCAGAGTCGCTAAATGGCACTCGAACCGAACGTGTGACCCCACCAATGGATTGCTATCCAAACGGAGGAATCCATTGGTGGGGTCACACGGTCACTTCGAGTCCTGTTTAGCGACTCTGGAGCTCAAAACGCGTCAAGAGTTTTGGCCGCCTCCACCGGTCTTCGGGCCCACTGTACGCAGCGGAACCTAACCCAGCCCTACTAATGCCGGGGAAATGAGAAGTTTTAATTACATTTTTAGAGGACACCGCTGCTTGTGTTGACAGTGGCGGAGACGATGCGTGCCTGTGAGTGAGTGAGACAGCAGTCTAGCCAAACAATAACAGACGAGCTCCAGCGGTCGATACAAGGTGGACTCTCAGCCTTAGTGGCCGCAAGTCGCCAGATCGAGAGGAAAAGTAATTTCTATTTTCCTCCATGGCCGTCGCCAAGTCTGCCACTCCTCGGGAAGATGCGACCCCCTCCCTCCCTGCCTCTTTTGTTCGCAGCCTTGTTTCATTACTCCCAGATTCCCTCCCGTTTTTATTACACTTTTATTTCGGCCGTCTTACCCCGGCCCCCGTATCCAGCAACTACCCCCACCCCTCTGCCAATAATGGCTCTCCCGAACCGCATTCAGGCGAGACCGCTGCAATCGACGCACACAAACGCGACACTGCCAAACGGTCGGCAGCGCAGCGCACGGTGGGCCAGAAGACCGGTGGAGGCGGCCGAAACTCTAGACGCGTTTTGAGCTCCAGAGTCGCTAAACAGGACTAGAATGGAACGTGTGACCCCACCAATGGATTCCTCGTTCGGAGAGCAATCCATTGGTGGGGTCTTTCGTTCGGTCCGAGTCCCATTCAGCGACTCTGGAGCTCGAAACGCGTCCATCGTGATGGTGACCCTGACTCTCCGCTTGTTTCCAGATGGCCGTGTCCGGGGGGCGGCCCAGGCCCAGGGGGCGGCCCGGGCCCGGAGGCGGGGGCGGGGCGGGGGCGGGCAGGGCTGCATGGACAGCGCCCCGATCCGCCGCCTGCGCGCCCCCGTCGAGAGCCCCGTGTGGGGCTGGCTGTGGGGCGCGGCCGGCGGGCTGCTGGGCGGGCTGCTGGCGCTGCCACTGCTCGCCGCCACCATGCTGCTCCTGCCCGTCTACCTGCTGTCGCGCCGCCTGTTGCTGCGCCTGCACCGGCTGTGGCACCGCCTGCCAGGTAAGCAGACAGACAGACAGGCAAACAGACAGACAGGCAGACAGACAGACAGACAGACGCAGGAAGACAGACCGTCCGCCCGGAATCAGACTGCATTTTTCATGCCAGCGAAATTCCCCTCGGGGTTGGGATTACTCGACGGGAATGACAGGCCAGTGTGGTGGAGCTGGCAAAGTCGTGGTTTCTTTTGCTTTCTACCTTTTTTAACAATTTTTTCCCGCCCTCTTTTCCTCTTCTGCCGCCACAGCTATTTTTCCAAACGCGTGAGCGCGGATTCATTCAAACGGCCGCTGGAAAGGGTGCACCGCAAACCGTGCGCCGGCGTTGTCGGCGACGTCATCACCGCCACTCTGCGGACGGGGACCGTGGCACACTGTAGCACGCCGACGACGTGTTAACGGCGAGGTCTCGCCTGGGTGCGCACAGTGGGCCAGACGACCGGTGGAGGCGGCCGAAACTCAAGACGCGTTTTTAGCGCCAGAGTCGCTAAAGAGCACTCGAACCGAACGTGTGGATTCCTCTCCGAACGAGTCCCATTCAGAGACTCTGGAGTTCAAATCGCGTCTAGAGTTTTGGCCGCCTCCACCGGTCTTCTGGCCCACTGTGGTGCGCCGGTCACCGCAGGGTCGCGTTTAACGCCGGCCTTTCCTCATGCGACGTAGGGCCCGGGAGGGGGGGGCACTGGCAAGTGGAGCAGACAGTGCAATAAGCCCTGGGGGCAAGTTTTGAGGGGCGCTACACAATATATTCCGCCCGCCCCGACCCGCGTGCTCTGCTCCGCGCTGCTCTCCGGGGGAAGTTTGCCTGTTAGCAACTGGGATGGATAACCTTTGCAACGCTGTATAGCGCTGTATAGTTGGCGACGTCGCTGCTTGAGTCAGCGCTGTCCGCCGCCGGCGCGGAATGGAGCGAGATGTGGAGCGTGGAAAGGGGGGGGGGGGGGGGCGAAGGCCAGGGCCGAACCGGGGTGATCTGGAATCGGGGCAGAGGCCCGTGAAGCGAGCAAACGCGTAGGCCGTCAAGAACGAAACGCTCAAGACTCGGAGCCGTTGGTGTGCTCAAAAAGGGAAAATTATCTCTTTGACTAGTGGGCCGGCCGCATGACCGGAAATGTGACTTTGTTGCAGGGATTTTGTTTGTTGGCTTGGGGAAGACTGAGAGAGTGTGTCTTGTTGCAGCGTGCGAGCGCGTGTCGGGCACCGAGGCGTGCTGGCTGAGCGCGGCGTGGGGCCGGTGCGTGCTGCACGCCGTGCTGGTGCTCGAGGCCGCCGGGCCTGACGCCGGCCTGGACGTGGGCCGCCTCCAGGACATCGTGGCGACGCGAGTGCTGCCGCAGTGCCCCCGCCTCACCGCCAGGCCCAAGCACATGCCCTTCGCCGCGGGTGAGTAGCCGGACTGAGACGCGTCTCGAGCTCCAGAGTCGCTGAACAGGACTCGAACCGAGCGTGTGACCCCACCAATGGATTCCTCGTTCGGAGAGCAATCCATTGGTGGGGTCACACGTTCGGTTCGAGGCCCATTTAGCGACTCTGGAGCTCGAGACGCGTGTAGAATTTTGGCCGCCTCCACCGGTCTTCTGGCCACCATGCTACTCCCCTCCTCCGGCGGCAGGCTGTTGGCAGTGGTCCCGACCTACCCTACCCCGGGCGATAATCTTTGTCACGGAGGCCGTCCTCGGCGTGAAATTTGGCGGGTTGCTGGAATTGTCGCTGGTCGTTGGTCCGTGTTAGTGTGCCGCCGCGCCAAGCCCTTTGACGAATGGCGGGACGGCCCAAGGCCGGGAAGGGCCGGAAAAGGGGGGGGGGGTCTTTGGGAGGGGTGCTTTCACACTGCACGGCTAGCTCCTGACTCGCGGAGTGACTCAGCCTGGCTGCCTGGCTGCCGCACCTAACGCTCTTCCTTCTCCCCCCCCCCTCTCTCTCTCTCTCTCTCTCTCTCTCTCTCTCTCTCTCTCTCTCTCTCTCTTCTCCCCCCCCCCCTATAGCCCCATTACCGCAGCCGTCCCTGTCTGATAGGGCCCTGCTGGCAGGGTGGCGCTCTCTCACTCACCCCCACCACGCCCATTGTCAGGGGATTTCTGAGATATCCGCGCCCTCCGCTGTCTATCTGGAAGTCTGACAGACTATCTGCAAGTCTGACAGTCTGGCCGTCCGTCTGACAGCACGTCTGTCCGTCTGTCTGTCTGTCTGTCTGTCTGTCTGTCTGTCTGTCTGTCTGTCGGTCTGTCTGTCTGTCGGCCCGTCTTGGAAGTGTGTGCTGCGCTTTCGGGCCTTCGGGGCGAGGCTCGGAGGCTAGCCACCGCCCCACAGTGGGCCAGAAGACCGGTGGACGCGGCCAAAACTCTAGACGCGTTTTGAGCTCCAGAGTCGCTAAATGGGACTAGAACCGAACGTGTGACCCCACCAATGGATTCCTCGTTCGGAGAGCAATCCATTGGTGAGGTCACACGTTCGGTTCGAGTCCTGACTCAGACAACATTTCAAACACGTTGTAAACACTGACAACGCTGCAAACACGTTGTAAACACTGACAACACTGCAAACACGTTGTAAACACTGACAACACTGCAAACACGTTGTAAACACTGACAACACTGGAAACACGTTGTAAACACTGACAACACTGCAAACACGTTGTAAACACTGACAACACTGCAAACTCGATGCAAACGCGCCGAGCGCGCAAAGGCTGGAGTTGCGATTCGGCCAAACAAAGCAGCGCGGTTTGAACTCTCCGGACTCGATAATTAGGAACCGAGGCCAAACTGGAAACCTGGGAACAAAACGCGCCGCGACGCGCCGCGCTGCCGTGAGGCGGCGAAGCGGCGGAGCGGCCGTGATCCGAAACCGGCGGCGGCGCTCGAGTTTTGGCCGCCTCCACCGGTCTTCTGGCACACTGTGGGGCGAGGGAATTACCTGGGGCGTGTCTGCGTACCGGGCCTTCGCAAGCACAAAAAAAAAACAAGAAAGAAAAAAAATCTGTACGAAAATGGAGGTAATTATGGCAGGTGTGGCAACAACGCGCGAAGCTCGCAGGGAAGTAGGGCGAGACTTGACTCGCAGCCCCGCGGGCCTTTGTCTGCGAATAGAGCCTCGGACGGCTATTCGCAGGCGGCTCGTTGTGCGAACAGTGGATTAATGAGCTTTCATACAGAAAGGGGGGATCGGGGCGCGCTGCGAGGAGGGAGGAGAGAGAGGGGAGGAGCAGGCCAAAAGGAAATCTTGAGAAAGGGGTTAAAAATAGCCCCCTCGGTGGCACGCCGTGCCACGCCGTGCCACGCCAATGGACGAGGCGAGGGCGATCGGGGCGGCCGATTCAAAGATTTATCGATTCCACGCACGCTCGTGTGTGAGAGAGAGAGAGAGAGAGAGAGAGAGAGAGAGAGAGAGAGAGAGAGAGAGAGAGAGAGAGAGAGAGAGAGAGAGTGTGTGTGTCTCGGTGTGGGAATGGACAGCAGGACTGCACGCAGGCGGAACCTGATTGCGTTCCTAATCGGATCCTGCACCGGTTGCTGTGCCGCAACAAAGGCGGTAAACTTGTAAAAGGGGCCGCGTTATGCACAGAAACTCGTGTCGGGGGAAGTCCGGGGCGTCGTGGGACTTCGTCAGGCCGTCAGGCCGTGGGGCCCGCCGCACAGTGGGCCAGAGGACCGGTGGAGGCGGCCAAAACTCTAGACGCGTTTTGAGCTCCAGAGTCGGTAAACAGGACTCGAACCGAACGTGTGACCCCACCAATGGATTCCTCGTTCAGAGAGCAGTCCATTGATGGGGTCACACGTTCGTTTCGAGTCCCACTTCGCTCAAAACGCGTCCGGGCTTTCGACCGCCTCCACCGGTCCTCTGGCCCACTGTGGGCCCCCGCCGACGAGGCTGCCGCAGAGGCGACAGAGGCGCGAACCGCTAAGTGGATTCGCAAATCGCGTTGCCGCGCAGCCGCGTTTCAAGCGCAGTGCCACATCAAGTTCGCTGCGGTGGGCGGGCGAGCGGGGAGCAGTCTGGGGCACGTTTCGCCGCGTTTCGCCGCGTTTTGCGCTGCCAGGCCGAGCACAGGCCTACAGCCAAACACCCACACCCCTCTCGTCTCCGCGTTCGAGTCCCAAGGGCGGCGGGGCGGTCCGCTAGCGCCATGGCGTGTTCCGTTTGAGTCCTGCTGAGGGCCGTAGAGCACGGGCGGCACGGCACAGTGGATTTGCCAGAAGACCGGTGGAGGTCGTCATAACGCGTTTTGAGCTCCAGAGTCGCTAAGCAGGACTCGAACCGAACGTGTGACCCCACCAATGGATTGCTCTCCGAACGAGGAATCCATTGGTGGGGTCACACGTCCGGTTCGAGTCCTGCTCAGCGACGCTGGAGCTCAAAACGCGTCCAGAGTTTCGACTGCCTCCACCGGTCTTCTGGCAAATCCACTGTGGATGGGGGCGTGACGGCTGGCCCCGCCGTGGCGCTGGGCGTGCGAGCGCGCTATTCAATCTTGGGCCACTCGTCTATAATGGATACGCACTGCGCGGCCGGCCCCGGAAGTCTGGAAGACTGGAAGACACAGGGCCCGCGGGGCGGCCCGCCCTACACTGCACATCCTGCTCCAACACCCACGCTCTACCAGTGTGTGTATTGTGTTCGCTGAAGTTTCCAGTGGGCGTGCGGCGCGGTTCAAGACGCCGCCGCGCGCCAATACGCGAAGGCCGCAGGCTGGCCCGATAGTCCCGACGGTGGGAAGGCCCACACCGCTATCCGCACACGTCCGCCCACAGCCCCCACAGCCCCGCGCACAGTGGGCCAGAAGACCGGCGGAGACGGCCAAAACTCTCGACGCGTTTTGAGCTCCGGAGTCGCTAAACAAATTTGCAACGTGTTTTGCTCGCAGGTGGCGGCATGTGCTGGGTCCCGGACTCGGACTTCGCCATCGAGAGACACGTCTTCCTGGCGGACTGCGGCGGAGACGGCCTGCAGGTAAGAAAAACAACCTTAAAGTTCCTTTTCGAAATGACTAAGTCAAAACTCTAGACGAGTTTTGAGCTCCAGAGACGCTAAATGGGACCGGAACCGAACGTGTGACCCCACCAATGGATTCCTCGTTCGGAGAGCAATCCATTGGAGGGGTCACACGTTCGGTTCGAGTCCCATTTAGCGACTCTGGAGCTCAAAACGCGTCCGGGATTTTGACCGCCTCCACCGGCCTTCAGTGCGGCGCGCCCCTGACCGCGTGGTTCCGCTTGGTTCCGCTTCCAGGTGTACGTCTCGCAGCTGCTGGACGAGAAGCTGCCCGACGACCGGCCGCCGTGGGAGCTGCGGCTGCTGCCGGCGTGCGGCTCGCGCAAGACCGAGGTGGTGCTGGTGGTGCGCGTGCACCCCGCGCTGGCGGACGGCGACGCGCTCGTCCGGCTGCTGTGCCACGCGCTGGCCGACAACGCCACGGCCAGGCCCAAGCAGGTGGGAGACGACACTCGACAGGCCTCGAACCGAGCGTGTGACCCCACCAATGGATTCCTCGTTCGGAGAGCAATCCATTGGTGGGGTCACACGTTCGGTTCGAGTCCCATTCAGCGACTCTGGAGCTCAAAACGCGAGTAGAATTTCGGCCGCCTCCGCCGGTCTTCTGGCCCACTGTGCGACGCGCACGATGAAATCTGTCTCGCTATCTCTGCCCACTCTCCTCTCCGCTGAGTGAAGTGCTCTCCCGCAGAAGCTGGAGGGGGTGGGGTCGTCGCACAGGTGGGGGCGCCACCAGCGCCACAAGGTGCTTGTAAGAACGTTTCAATCACCTCCTAACCTTTTCCAGTGATGTTCCACCCCGCCGTGCCCCGCCCGGCCCCGCCATTCCGTCCGGAGAGCCCGCAGCGTAGCCTCGCTAGCCTCGCACGGCCCGTAACATTTTCGCCAAATGGGTCCCACTCCGCTTGGGTCGGGACAGCCCCTCACCTCACACCGCTAAAAAAGGAATGAAACGAGAAAAATGACACCATTGATTTTGAGCGGGGATTATTTAATTTTCCACCCTACTGTGAAATAAAGAAGGCTTCCGAGTCAGCCACAGCGCTTGCTAATTTTTAGCGCGGCCCCCTTTTTCACCCGAAGACTTTTCCAACTCGGGAGGAATTTTCACCCCATTTTGCACGGGCAGCGCTAGCGACACGCAGTGGGCCAGAAGACCGGTGGAGGCGTCCGAAACTCAAGACGCGTTTTGAGCTCCAGAGTCGCTAAATGGGACTCGAACCGAACGTGTGACCCCACCAATGGATTCCTCGTTCGGAGAGCAATCCATTGGTGGGGTCACACGTTCGGTTCGAGTCCCATTTAGCGACTCTGGAGCTCAAAACGCGTCCGGTATTTTGACCGCCTCCACGGTCTTCTGGCCCACTGTGCGGCAGCCCTTTAGATACCAGTTTAGAAGGGAATCCTCGCAGCCTGGAGGGCCTTGAGGGCCCGCAGGGATTCCCCTTTTTTGTCCTCTTTGGTGTCGAGAGCTGTCCAGGTGTGGCGGGCGGGGCGGGGCGGGGCGGCGGGCGGGCGGGGTGGGGCGGGGCGGGGCGGGGCGGGGCGGGGCGGGGGGGCGGGGCGGGGGGGCGGGGTGGGGCGGGGCGGGCGGGCGGGGGGGGGGGGCGGGGGGCGGGCGGGTGTTCTGGGGGGTGCTAGTCGGCGGGGGGTCGTATATATAGCCTTGCCACCTCGCGCTAGGCGGCGCGCGTTCGCATCCCGTGATGCTGCGTGTCGTCTCGCTCCCTCCCTCCCGTTCTCCACTTCTCCCTCTCCCCTCTCTCTCTCTCTCTCTCTCTCTCTCTCTCTCTCTCTCTCTCTCTCTCTCTCTCTCTCTCCTCCTCTCTCCCCCTCCCGCAACAAGTAGCGGACACGTGCGGCGCTGGAGATGAAATTTGGTGGAGCAAAAGGGGAGGCTGTGCTTCGCTGTTCTTCGAGATTGTCCTCCTCCTCCGAGCACAGGGCCTCGATGTGGAGGCGGGGGACCGAGGCGCGTTGTACAGTGGGCCAGAAGACCGGTACAGGCGGCCAAAACTCTAGACGCGTTTTGAGCTCCAGAGTCGCAAGATGGGACTCGAACCGAACGTGTGACCCCACCAATGGATTGCTCTCCGAACGAGGAATCCATTAGTGGGGTCACACGCTCGGTTCGAGTCAAAACGCGACTGGAGTTTCCACCGGTCTTCGGGCCCACTGTGCCACGTGGAAGCCTTCTCGGCGGCGGGGAAGGGGAGGGAGGGTTTGCTCGCCGTGAATCGAGCCGCGGTCTGTTGTCCCTGCCGTCCTAGACCCTAGACAGATAGAATAGATGAATCATTCAGTGGCAAGCCGCCGCCCCCCCCCCCCCCTTTGCGACCCGAAGCCCCCAGGTACTGGACCACTGTAAAGACGTTACTTGCCGCTCTGCATTGCTCTGCAAGCAACAGTTTGATGTGCTCCGCTCCTCATGTAAAAGTCATCACCGGACCGGAACTCGGCTCCGTGGCTCGAGTCCTGGGCCAGGCCTGGCTCTGGCCGGCAAGCCTCAGCAAGCCTCCCCCCACTGCCTCTATCGCTCTCCTTTTCGCACTCGCACCTTTCGCTGGGCACCGGGCGCCTCATTAAAACGAAGCAACTACTGCCCCCCCCCCCTCCCCCCCTCCCCCACGCACCCTCCACAAGCCGAGATTCATTTAAATATCTCTTTTCTCGAAAAATAATTCGCTGCCCGTTTTATTTTGTTTGACTCGGATCCTCAAAGGGGAGCGCCCCGCCCCGCCCCGCCCGGCCCAAGGCCACAGCCATTAACAGGCCACGCGGACAACGGTCGCCGGTTTAGATCTAATTAGCAACCGTAGTTTCATCATTTCCAGTTTGCGTCAACGGTCCTTTTCCTCTATTTCTGTTAAAAAAATTTTTCTTTTTCTTTTTTGGTAGCATGAGGTGAAACATATCCACCTCTTTTTTTGCGAAGAGAGGTTGCAGTATGGCGCGGCTGGGCGGCCTCCCTGCTGCAGAGCAGTAGGAGAGAGAGAGAGAGAGAGAGAGAGAGAGAGAGAGAGAGAGAGAGAGAGAGAGAGAGAGAGAGAGAGAGACGAAAAAAGGAAAACGAAGGGGAAATGAGCGCAGCCACTCAACACACGGCCATTTGAGCTTTAGAACTGCTCCAATCCTTCTCTCCTTTTCTGCCCCCTTTTTTCGCCACCCCCTCCATCCTGCTCGTGTTTTTTTCGTTTCCCTGATTTCAATCTCTTCGCGTTTCTCTTCAAACCACACCGACACTCGTCGTGTCTCTCCATGCGCTCCCCTCCTCTCCTTTTTTTTCTCTCCCATACAACCCCCGCCCCTGCCGGCAGCACCCTTCATGAAATATTGCACAAAAGCTGCCAGTAGGTCAGCTGTTGTGTACGTAAGGTCTGTAATGAGCCCCCACCCCCTCCCATACAGGTTTAAGCACCGCCCCTCCCGCTTTTTACCTCCCCCACCCAGCTGCACGCTGCAGCAGGCCAAGCTCGCCCTCTGCATGTTTAGTCTCGTCCGCAGTGGGCCAGAAGACCGGTGGAGGTGGCCAAAACTCTAGACGCGTTTTGAGGTACAGAGTCGCTAAATGGGACTCGAACCGAACGTGTGACCTCACCAATAGATTGCTCTCCGAACGAGGAGTCCATTGGTGGGGTCACACGTTCGGTTAGAGTCCCATTTAGCGACTCTGGAGCCCAAAACGCGTCCAGAGTTTTGGCCGCCTCTTCCAGTCCGCTGGCCCCCATTGCACTGCCAACTGTCCCCAGGAGGAAACGTGAGAAAAAAACCAAACAAACCTCGAGACATATTCCTTTTCGACAGACGCAATTTCTGCGCGGGCTTTTGTTGACGGTGCCGTAGGGCGCGCGCGCGCGCAAGAGAAGAAGGACAGCAGCCAATTTGGCTGCATCGATTTGATGTTGCTCCTTCTATTCCTCGCAAAGTGGCGCTGAATTTGTTTTGACAGTCACAATGCAGATGGCCACCTCATGCATTATTCAGCCGCCGAGTCACCTCGGCAAAGCCGGGCGAAGCACGAGTCGGGACAGGCGGACAGGCGGGGGGAAGATTCGGGGAGATGAACAGCGGACGGAGCATCGCGGGGCATGCACAGTCAGAGTAACGGCCGTCAGAACCGCCAACTCGAAAAAAAAAAGAAAAAAAGAGGAGAGGGAGAGACTTTGTGAAAACTTTGTTCGTCTGCTTGGAGCCGGGGCGGCGGCAGCTTCGTCGTGTTCGAGGCGCGCGGAGCCGATCTACTACCGGAGATTTGATGGCGAGGCTGGGATTGCCAGATGGGACAGCGTTTGGTGGAAAAATTCAGAGGCTTACTCTCTGGACGCGTTTTGAGCTCCAGAGTCGCTAAATGGGACTCGAACCGAACGTGTGACCCCACCAATGGATTGCTCTCCCAACGAGGAATCCATTGGTGGGGTCACACGCTCTGTTCGAGTCCCATTTAGCGTCTCTGGAGCTCACAACGCGTCTAGAGGTTTGGCCGCCGCCAGCGGTCTTCTGACAAGTCCACTGCGTTGACGGGCAGGTGCGGCGCTGTCGCCGCGGCCTGCTGGCGCTGCTGCTGGCGCTGCTCCGCGCCGCCGTCGTGGGGCCCCTCACGCTGCTGGCCTGGCTGTCGCTGCGCCACCGCGACGACAACCTGCTGCTCGCCGGCGGCAACAACAACAACAACAACAACAACAACAACAACGCGGACGACGACGGCGCGGCGGCGGTGAGCGTGTCCTGGTCGTCGGGCATCGCGCTCAGCAAGGTGCGGCGCATCCAGCAGGTGTCGCGCTGCAGCCTCAACTGCGTGCTCCTGTCCGCCGTCGGCGGCGCCGTGCGCGTCCTGCTGCAGGGCTGCGGCGTGCGCCAGCCGCCCGACCTCCAGGTCAGCCGCCACACTCCATTTGCCAGAAGACCGGTGGAGGCGGCCAAAATTCGAGACGCGTTTTGAGCTCCAGAGTCGCTAAACAGGACTCGAAGTGACCGTATGACCCCACCAATGGATTCCTCGTTCGGAGAGCAATCCATTGGTGGGGTCACACGTTCGGTTCGAGTCCCATTTAGCGACTCTGGAGCTCAAAACGCGTCCAGAGTTTTGGCCGCCTCCACCGGTCTTCTGGGTCACTGTGCACTGCGTTATTCAAAAAAAAATTTTTTTTATAAAAATTAAAAGAATTTTTTTTTTAAGTTTTTGTAAAGTATTTTTAAAAAGAAGAAAGTTCTGAGTAGTCCTTTTTGTCGACCAGGTGGCCCTGCCTCTCAGCATGCATCGGTCCAAGGGTCACGACCCGGCGGGCCAGAACGGCGCCCCCCTTCCCGACCACCCCCCACTCCTGCACCTCCACCACCACCACCACCTGCCGTCGGAGAGCAGTCTGTACGCCTACATCGACGGCCTCTCGAACGCCGTCAGCGCCAACACCAACAACAACAGCCACAAGGTCCGCGACAACAACAACCCCGAGGGGTGCGCCGTGTCCAACAAGACCGCCCCCGTGGTCGTGGGGCTGCCCGTCAGCGTGGAGGGGGCCGTGCCGCGCCTCTGGGCCACCAGGAGGTGTCTGCAGTACCTGCGCTCCGCGGCGGGTGAGTGCCAAAAAACAACAACAGAACACTTAAGACCGGTGGAGGCGGTTTGAGCTCCACAGTCGCTAAAAGGTTCTCGAACTGAACGTGCGACCCCACCAATGGATTGCTCTCCGAACGAGGAATCCATTGGTGGGGTCACACGGTCACTTCGAGTCCTGTGTAGCGACTCTGGAGCTCAAAACGCGTCTAGAGTTTTGGCCGCCTCCACCGGTCTTCTGGCAAATCCGCTGTGCGGCGTCGTTTCGAAAACCTTCCTCGGGTGCTCTCGAGTGACTCGTCTAGCCTCGGCGATGCTGGGGAGTCCTGTGCCGTGCCCTGCCTGCCCCGCTTAGCTCCGCGCCGCCCTCTGTGAGCTGTGAGGCCTGGCAGGGCTGGCATGTGAGCCTTGCCCTGCTCGTGTTTGGACGTCCCCGTCCTGCCGAGCTGCCGAGGCTGCCGACGCCCTCAGGCACTACATTGTGACGCAAATAGCGAATGGCGCGTGCTGCAGACTAGACTGATTCCGAGAGTCCTTTAAGTAGCTCCGTCCCCCTCGCCCTCATGGGGCGTCCCGTGTGGGTGCGAGAGAGGCAGCGCGACGGAAACGACTCTCGGAATCAGTCTGCTGCCTGAGAGTGCTGCCTGTTCCTTGCGAGAGGAGTGGCCTGAATGCAAGGAGATTGCAAGGAAAAGCGCGGGAGGACAGGAGAAAGAAAATTATCCCATCATAAACAGTGGAAGGTGGTGAGATTCGAACCAGCGACTTCGACATTGCGGTTTAGCGCCGCTAACCCCTCGACCACCGCGTGCTTCTAACCGCAGATCCCGAGGTGGTGTACCTGGCGTCGCTGGGCGGCTCGTGGAGCGGCAAGCTGCTGGCGGCGCTCACGGACAAGGCATCGCTGCAGTTCGCCACGCTGCCGGGCCCCGCGTCCACCGTGCTCGTGGGCGGCGCCGTGCTCAAGGCAGTGTACCCGCTGCAGCCCGCGCCGGGCCGCCTGGGCATCGCCGTGTCCGTCATCACCTACGCCGACCAGGTGTTCGTGACCGTGGCCTCCGACGCCGCCCTCGGCCCCGCCGGCTCGCTGCTGCTGCAGCACTTCAACGTGCAGGTGAGGCGTCGACGCCCTGCCGGAAGACCGGCGGGGCGGCAAAAACTCCAGACGCGTTTTGAGCTCCAGAGTCGCTAAATGGGACTTGAACCGAGCATGTGATCTCACCAATGGATTCCTCTTTCGTAGAGCAATCCATTGGTGAGGTCACAGGCCCAGTTCGAGTCCCATTTAGCGACTCTGGAGCTCAAAACGCGTCTGGAGTTTGGGCCGCCCCGCCGGTCTTCCGGCAAATCCACTGTGTACGGCCCGAGATGCCGGCGCGAGATGACGCACACGGCCCTGTCCGGAAGCTCCCCTGATTGGCTACATCCGTCATGCGAGGGCGTCAGTGTGAGTGTGTGTGTGTCACGTGACAGATCGAGCTGCTGTGGAGGCTGCTCCGGAACCGACGCGCGCCTGGGGAGACGCGGCCGCCGCTGTCGCTGCTGCGGAGGGCGGACGTGCAGGCGTCGCCCGTCGGGGAGGTGAGTACCGTGCCCGTCGGTCTCTGTCGCACTCACGGCGCGGGCGTGGCACAGTGGGCCAGAAGACCGGCTCGCAGGCATGCCGTAGGGGTGCGAGGGGGACAGAGCAAGCGTGGGCCGAAGCCGCCGTCAATAGGGCCCGCGGTAAATCACAGGGGTGGGGGTGGGGGAGCGAAAATTGTTTGCCCCGCAAGGCTTTGGCGTGGTTTATAGTGAAGGTGCCGCTCAAGACGTCCGCAGCCCAGCCGCCTTCGTTCACGAGCACGTGCCCGGCGCCTCACAGTGGGCCAGAAGACCGGCGGAGGCGGCCAAAACTCTAGACGCGTTGTGAGCTCCAGAGTCGTTAAATGGCACTCGAACCGAACGTGTGACCCCACCAATGGATTGCTCTCCGAACGACTCTCGGAATCAGTGCGCTGCTTCTGGGAGCGCAGGGCGCGGGGCTCAATGGGCAGCAGAAGCGAAGGGGTTGGCTCGGGTTGGCTCAGAACAGGGGGGGGAGCCTCAACCCTGGCGTAGTGTCAATTTGAAAGGAGCGGAAATTAAGGTGCGGAATACAACGGGAAGTGCCATTCACTCCCCTCCCCCTCCCCTCCCCTTCCCTCCCCTCCCCTCCCCTCCCCTCCCCCACTGCTCGGCTCGCTCGCAGCTCTCGCAGCCCGGCGGGCAGGCCTCACGTAGACACGCGTGCACGCCCGGCTGCCTACCCTCCGTTCCACAGGCGCTCTCTGTTCTCTCCCTCCCTCTTTCAAACGTGTTTAAGTTCGTCTTTGTCTTCCTGCGGCTTCGGATGGTGGATTAATTTTCGAGCCGCGAGCTGCGCACAGTGGGCTAGAAGAACAGCACAGACGGTCCAAACGCGTTTTGAGCTCTAGAGTCGCTAAATGGTACTTGAACTGAACGCGTGACCTCACCAATGGATTGCTCTCCGAACGAGGAATCCATTGATGGGGTCACACGTTCGGTTCGAGTCCCATTTAGAGACTCTGCAGCTCAAAACGCGTCTGGAGTTTTGGCCGCCTCTACCGGTCTTCAGGCCCACTCTGCTGCGGAGGCGGGGTGAACGCGATGGTCATCCAGGAGACGCACGAGACAGAGACGAATGCATACACGACATGCAAACGGAGACAGGGCTTGGCCGTGCAGCACGGCGGGCACACACATACACACACACGCAGACAGACAGACAGACAGACAGACAGACAGGCAGACAGACAGGCAGGCAGACAGACAGAACGTCAGACCGGAGAGTAAACGCAATAAGCCAGGCTGTATGAGGGGACTGTGCCTCGCCTGCCTCGCCCTGTTTGCGCCTGTTTGGCTGCTTATTGGTGCCCGGCCCGTGTCGTGCGCACATCCAGGACATCCAGGACACCGAGCCCCTCTGTCTCTCTCGCACTCGCAGCCAGTTCCGTGTGGGGGAGAGAGGAGAGAGAGAGAGACGGAGTGACTTTCCGGCATCAGACCGCAGGCGACGTCGCTGGCTGCGGTCTGTCCGTGTCGTGTTGGCCCCAGCTGGCCGAGTCCACCGCCCCACCGCTCAATGAGAGAGAGAGGGAGAGAGAGAGAGAGAGAGAGAGAGAACGCGATTCAAAGGCGAGTCCCAATAACACGCTCGCCGTTCGCAATTTCAAAGCGTTGTCTCGTTCGAGTTTTCGGGGATCTACGCGGAGGAAAATGAAATGCAATATGGCCGTTCGACAACAGGGAGTGTCACAGTTGAAAGCGCGTGTTTGTCATCAGCGGTGTGATAAACGACAGTCCAGAGCCAATGAGTAATGAATGTGAGTGAATACCCCACGCGGAGGGCTTGTCCTCGCCAAGGCACCGCACAGCGGGACAGGGGACCGGTGGAGGCGACCAGAATTCTAGACGGGTTTTGAGCTCCAGAGTCGCTAAGCAGGACTCGAACCAAACGTGTGACCCCACCAATGGATTCCTCGATCGGAGAGCAGTCCATTGGTGGGGTCACACGTTCGGTTCGAGTCCCATTTAGCGACTCTGGAGCTCAAGACGCGTCTGTAGTTACGGCCGCATCCAGCCACACGCCATGACGTGCCTCCTTGTTGCAGCTGGCGTCGCGGCTGTGCTACGTGCAGGGCGAGCTGGAGCGCCTCGCCAGCGAGGAGGCGGTGGACGGCCACTTCGACTGCGGCCAGGAGGCGGCCCGCCTGTCCAGCCTGTCCAGCCTCAAGGCGGAGTTCACCACGCTGCTGCACGAGGTGCGCAAGCGGCAGCTGCAGGCCGTGCGGGCCCGCCGGATGCAGGGCAAGCCGGGCAAGGCCGGCAAGCAGCGCAACGGCCACCGCGGCAGCGAGGTGCGTGGAGCACAGTGGATTTGCCAGAAGACAGGTGGAGGCAGCCAAAACTCTACACGCGTTCTGAGCTCCAGAGTCGCTGAATGGGACTCGGATCGAACGTGTGACCCCACCAATGGATCGCTCTCCGAACGAGGAATCCATTGGTGGGGTCACACGTTCGTTTCGAGTCCTGTTTAGCGACTCTGGAGCTCAAAACGCGTCTCGAGTTTTGGCCGCCTCCGCCAGTCTTAAAGCAAGGCAGTTCACTGACCTTGAGCGTCTGACGGCGTCCTCCTGCTCCCCAGGGTGCGGGTTCGTCGGGGTCGTCGGGCCGGCGCCGCAAGCGCGCCGTGTCCTTCTCGCTGCCGCAGCGGCCCAGCCTGTCCTTCGGCGGCCTCCTCAGCGGCCCCGCCGGCGCCCGGTCGGCCAGCCTGGGCGGCGACGCCGGCGGCAGCGACGCCATGCTGGAGGACTCGCCGGCGTCCTCGCCCAGCCACACGCCCAGCGTGTCGGCGCGGCCCAGCGTCACCATCAGCATCCCCGAGGAGGACGAGGAGGACGACGAGGACGTGGACGAGGGCGGCCAGCGCTGGGTGCGGGCCTCCTTCGAGCGCGCGGCCCGCCGCTCGCACGCCAACCTGGACCCGCAGCTGGTGGAGTACTTCCACAGCGTGCAGCTCGAGTCGCCTGGCGGCCCGGGCGGCGCCTACGCCTGCCGGTGCCACTCCAGCGAGTCCTCGCCGTCGGCGTCCGGCGCGGGCTTCGGCAGCTGTTCCAACACCTCCCAGGTCAGCAGTGCGCCAACCACCGCACAGAGGGACGAAAGACCCAGAGTCGCTAAATGGGACTCGAACCGAACGTGTGACCCCACCATTAGATTGCTCTCCGAACGAGGAATCCATTGGTGGGGTCACACGCTCGGTTCGAGTCCCATTTAGCGACTCTGGAGCTCAAAACGCGTCCAGAGTTTTGAGTGCCTGCGCCGGGCCACTGTGCCGGTGTGGGCGGCCGATAACGGGACCCTTGCCCCGCCAGGACGAGGACGGCGACGTCGGCGTCCAGGCTCGGTCCTCGCGCCGCCACCGCGGCCGCCGCATGACGTCCTCGCCGGAGCAGGAGTACGACGCCATCGCCGAGGCCTACTACCCGGCCGAGCTCAAGAACTGCGCCAAGTTCAGCCTCCTGGAAGAGAGCCCGACGGCGGAGGCGGCCTCGGTCGCCAGCGAGCAGCGCCGGCCGTCCTGCCTCAAGAAGACCACCCGCAGGGACACGCCGCCGTCGGACCAGTCCTCGCCGTCGCTGTCCACCAGCGTGCTGCACCAACTCAGGTAACCGTCGTGAGCGTGGCGTGGCACTGTAAACCATCTCGGCGCGGTTGGCGACCTTGCATTGCTGCGCAGGTCGTACTACGACGAGTCCTACATGTCCTTCGACGAGGACCGCGGCGCCGAGGACCCGTACCGCTACCAGGACGGCGACCTCACCAGCCCGGACGACCTGGACGACGAGCTGCCGCCGCCGCGGGAGCGCACCGCGGCCTTCTCCGTGTCGACGGCGCGCTCGCCGCCGCGGCAACCTCCGCGACCGCCGTCGGGGTCGCCCGTGTACCTGGAGGTGCCCAGCGGCTCCCCGCGGGCGTCGCCGCGGCCGCCGAGCAGCTTCACGTGCAAGGACGCCGACCAGATGCGGTACGCGGACGCCGACGACTCGGACTCGGCCACGCCCAGCATGGACCTGGTCAAGGACCTGGTCGCCACGGCCCTCGTGCACTCGCCGCCCGCGCGCTTCCCGCGGCCGCCCGTGCTCTCCGTCAAGTCCAGCACGCCGTGCCTGCTGTCGCCGGCCGAGTTCGGTGAGGACCCTGCCACACCGCCACGCAGTGGCCCAGAATTCTAGACCGTTTCGAGCTCCAGAGTCGCTAAATGGGACTCGAACCGAACGTCTGACCCCACCAATGGATTGCTCTCCGAACGAGGAATCCATTGGTGAGGTCACCCGCTCGGTACCCCTGACAAACTGAGGGCCAGGTCAACTCGGGGGTAACTCGGGGGTAACTCAGGGGTAACTCGGGGGTAACTCGGGGGTAACTCAAGGGGAAGTCGGGGGGAACTCGGGGGGAACTCGGGGGGAAGTCGGGGGGAACTCGGGGGGAAGTCGGGGGGAACTCAGGGGCAAGTCGGGGGGAACTCGGGGGGAACTCGGGGGGAACTCGGGGGCAAGTCGGGGGGAACTCAGGGGTAACTCGGGGGCAAGTCGGGGGGAACTTGATCGACTCACCCAAACACTAGAAATACGCTCCAAACTAGCACCGTTGCCTTTGTCTCGTTGCCCCGATTCTAAAAGTGCCCCTACTTGCCCCTCTAGCTCAGCGGTTCCCAACCTTGGGGTCGCGACCCCAAATGGGGTCGCGAAAAAATTTTGAGGGGTCGCGGCGAGGTGGCTGGGGTCGCCTGGGGTCGCGGTGGTTTCCCGGCTGGCCCACACGCCGAGCACTGGCTGCTTAAATGCCGCAAAGTTGATCAAAACGGTCACAAATGTGTGTAAAAGATCGTGTTTTGGGTCGACTTTAAGCATCCACTGCTTCTGATCCGAGGCGGTAAATCGCCCTCCCTCAACGGGCAATTGGTCTTTGGACCTTCCTTTTGCATGCCTTTGTTACGGAGTGCAATTATCTGCCTCAGTTTGGAAGCAGTACTGCCGCAAAGTTGGTCTAAACAGTCACAAATGTCTGTGAAAAATCGTGTTTTGGGCCGACTTCAAGCATCCACTGCGTCTGATCCGAGGCGGTAAATCGTCCTCCGTCAACGGGCAATTGGTCTTTAGACCTTTCTTTAGCATGCCTTTGTTACGGAGTGCGATTATCTGCCTTAGTTTGGGAGCAGTTTTGCCGCAAAGTTGATCAAAACGGTCACAAATGTCTGAAAAATCGTGTTTTGATCAACTTTGTGGCAAAACTGCTCCCAAACTAAGGCAAATAATCGCACTCCGTAACAAAGGCATGCTAAAGGAAGGTCTAAAGACCAATTGCCCGTTGACGGAGGACGATTTACCGCCTCGGATCAGACGCAGTGGATGCTTAAAGTCGGCCCAAAACACGATTTTTCAGACATTTGTGACCGTTTTGATCAACTTTGCGGCAAAACTGCTCCCAAACTAAGGCAGATAATCGCACTCCGTAACAAAGGCATGCAAAAGGAAGGTCCAAAGACCAATTGCCCGTTGAGGGAGGGCGATTTACCGCCTCGGATCAGAAGCAGTGGATGCTTAAAGTCGACCCAAAACACGATCTTTTACACACATTTGTGACCGTTTTGATCAACTTTGCGGCATTTAAGCAGCCAGTGCTCGGCGTGTGGGCCAGCCGGGAAACCACCGCGACCCCAGGCGACCCCAGCCACCTCGCCGCGACCCCTCAAAATTTTTTCGCGACCCCAAGGTTGGGAACCGCTGAGCTAGAGGGGCAAGTAGGGGCACTTTTAGAATCGGGGCAACGAGACAAAGGCAACGGTGCTAGTTTGGAGCGTATTTCTAGTGTTCGGGCGAGTCGATCAAGTTCCCCCGACTTGCCCCCGAGTTACCCCTGAGTTCCCCCCGACTTGCCCCCGAGTTCCCCCCGAGTTCCCCCCGACTTGCCCCTGAGTTCCCCCGACTTCCCCCCGAGTTCCCCCCGACTTCCCCCCGACTTCCCCTTGAGTTACCTCCGAGTTACCCCCGAGTTACCCCTGAGTTACCCCCGAGTTACCCCCGAGTTGACCTGGCCCTCAGTTTGTCAGGGGTAGGGCCCTGTTTAGCGACTCTAGAGCTCAAAATGCGTCTAGGATTTTGGCCGCCTCCACCGGTGTCTGGCAAATCCAATGTGGCCAGTGCGACGCCACGATGTCTCGCCTTACGGTGTGGGGCGCGCTAATGGCTTCCCGTTTCCACTGTCCGCAGTGGACCCCGTCATCCTGGAGGCGGCCTCCTGCTCGTCCACGTCGCCACGCCCCAAGTTCCTGACGCAGTCATCGACGAGCTCCGGGCACTCCAACTCGCACTCCGCCAGCCCGCGCGGCCCCGCGCCCGGCTCCAAGCACCGGCAGCTGAGCGCCGACACGGGCTACTGCGAGGACAGCGGCGTCCTCAGCATGGGCAACTCGGAGCCCGCGTCGCGGACCTCGCACGACGGGCTGTCCGGGATGTCGGCGGCCACGGACAGCGCGTCGGGGTCCGTCTCCGCCTCGCCCAGGGCCTCCCCCAGGGCCTCGCCCAGCCCCAGGACGTCGGCCTGCTTCCTGGTGGGCGGCGGCACCAGGACGAGGACGGCCTCGGCCTTCAGGTCGCTGTCGGAGGAGTCGCCCTGCCTGCGGCCCGCCACCCACGCCTCCATGACGGCGTCCTTGGCGTCCTCCAGCGAGCACATGGGCCTGCTCACGCCCCTCGACATGTCCCCCGTGCGGCCCACCACGCTCGTCATCAAGAAGGCCCACCGGAGTTGAGACTCTCCAGTCCACGTCCACCAGCCTTCCAGTGACGTTGACTTGGCAGTGCCCGGGGAAAGGGGTGCATGTGAAACCAAAGGTCCGTTAAGAAAAAAAAGGAAAGAAATTTTATTTTCTCTTTGTTGATGTACCTTGTGATGGAAAAAACAGGTATTTAAGCTGCTTCCTTACTTCTGCAAAATATCATAGCTTTTGTGTGATATGTGTGATATATTATTATAATTGATAAGATAAGTAAAATATACTTGATACAAAAATGGGAATGATGGGAGTGCCATATGTGCATAAAATGAACTCAATTAAATAAACTGAACGTAAGCTATTCATCAATGCCAAAGAACGCTAAAGAAAGTACAACGCTCTTTCATGTGCCATAGGGATGTAACAAAATTAGGAGAGGGGAATTTTTTCCTCTTCCTATTAAGTTAAATTAAGCAGAAGACTGTACCAAAACAGCTCTCATAAGAACTAACTGACTGTGATTCTACTAAGAAAGATTCTGAATACAAATGACAATCAACATATTGGGTCACAATTTTCGCCAGGTGCAGGTGTCTTCCTGATTTAAGTTGGGTGCTCCTCTGGGTTGTGATGTATTTAATAGTGGCACCAAAGTAAAACTTCTGGTGATAGATCTGTCCCACCCGGGAGCTTAGTCTTAAGGCACAACATTGTCTTCAGAAAACTCTGGCTAAATCTAATAGCACCATAATCTTAAATATTTTTTAAATCTGACATTGTCTTATTGTGTATACTAGCACAAACTCTGTGCCAAAAATTTGAAGTAGGTAATTGAGCAACCTCTCAACCAGCATTAACAACCTAGTGAGAGATTTAAGCATTCTTCCGCTAGGTTAATCTAATTTCCATCGGTTTTATTGAATACCAGAGGTGATGATGTGTGGACAAGGTGCCCTTTAAATTGAGCTGAGTTATACTGAAAGTTGCATGTCAAGGGCAGTCCATCAGTGTGCATGCAACCAGTCAGATACCTGTTAAAGAACATGTGCTAACAATCAACTAATTCCTTGTGTGACAAGTTTTAAGCTAGATGTGTGATAAATAAATTTCATTCAAAGTAACAATTGTTGTTTTTTTTTAGGAAAAAGGAGCAGGCAATTTGGAAATAAGACAAGGTTTTCAGACACTGTGTTTACTGGAAAATGTTAAAGAGGTGAACTAAACACGAATTTCATTGAAAAATAAAAAGAGGAACAAATTGGAACAAGAAAACTTGACACACAAAAAATGACACTTAAAAACATGGAAGTCAAAGTACAAGATAGAATGAGATGAACAAGTTAAAAACCTTTCCTATGACTAAACCTCTCTCCATTTTTGCATTCACACAGCTTTCACTTAGAACCTAGCAACCTTCACAATATGCAGTCTTGATAGAAACAACTTAATCTCTCTTTGAGTTGTTCTCTTCAAACAAAGTTTTTGCTGCCAACTTGGTAGCTGCAACAACATTTAGGAATTATTAAATGAAGTTCTGTGGCTGAAATATGAACAGTAAATAAGAGCAACTGATTCAAGACTTACCTTTGTCAGCCAAACCACTGAGAGCATCATCCATTTTACCCTCATATTTTAAAAAGCGGGGCCTCAGAATGCGTTTGTAGATGACAACAGAGCCATTTTCTTCCATGGGTGCGAACAGCCAAATGAAGAAAACACACTATAAAAGAAATAAAACGTTATTTACGAAAAATATTAAAAGGTCTAAGATACTTGTGACCAAGAAAAAAAATTACCTTGACGAGCCAGTAGACAGGGATCCAACCAACAATGATGTTTGAAAAGAATTCCAAAAGAGAGAAGGCTGCAAACACTGTCCAATAGGTGAGCCACTTGGTGTCATCACCTTTCTGTGGACTTTCTATGGCCTTGATGGATGCATATGCAGGATAACCGAAACCAATTGCGTTGCACAGCAGTTGAGCTCCATAGCCGAACACCAAATAAATGGCCAAAAAGGCAAGGGCAACTATAACAGAAAGAAATAAGAAAATTACAGAATAAAAATTTAACAAGGCACTTTAAATTATTCAAAGTAAACAATAAATTTAGTCTAAATGGTGAAGTAGTCAGAGAGACAGAACGAGGCAGGCATACATCGGTAAGCTATCATGCTTCTACAAGGACAATAACAGAAATAAAATGAGTAATCGACAGAGGAAATTGCCTTCTTATCAATTACTGCACACGGGCATCAGTTTCAAACCATGATAACAGCCCAGTCATGTCTCCATGACAAAGAAAGGAAGGAGGGAGGGGGCAATGAGGGGGGCAGGGGGGAGGGGTGTGCAATTGCAGGACTCGAACAAAAACCGCACCGGATCGTACGCGAACCACGTTACGACGGTACTCCGCGAGGTCAAAGTTGGCGATGACGCGCGCTCACAGCGCTGTGCCCACGGCGGCCGCTGACAGGCCAATTTGATGACGTACTCGTCAGACAGGATCGGCAAGCAGTATGCCTTTTTACCTGAACAAACCCGTATCACTATCACTCAGCCAATTCCCGCGCGAAATAACGGAACTCGCGGAGTGACATGCAGCGTGCGGCACGGCCTGCTAACCACGCCAGGCCGCCGAGAGCTCCGGCCAAGCCTCATTCAAGCCCAGCCGACAAGCCAGACCGCACAAATCGCGAATTGGCGAAGACTTACTTCCAAACAGGTACAGCCTCTTCACACCGGTCTTCTCCTCACCGAGGGCAAACCATTTGGCCCAGGGCTTGCTTTCGTCGTAAAGGTGTTTTTCCACAGTCGCTACGATTCTTGACGTCATTTTGTATGGAGTCCGGCAGTTCCCAGAGATGTCCGCGACTGGTACCGTTCAATGCGTGAAACGAACCGCTCTTTGGCTACGTCCGCACAGAAAGAAACTATAATTATAGAAGAGCTGATCATTCAACTTGAGTCACTTCTTCTTCTTCACTTCAAACACGCTCCGCCTTCTGGAACTCACACACTGAACTGTTATGAAAAGGATATGAAAAATTGGTTATGAATACGAATGTGGTTCCGCTGACTGTCTTCTGCTGCTGCCTGCTGCCTGCTTGTTGTCCTCTTGTCTTTGTTTCTTTTTGTCGTGGAAAGAATTTATGCCAGGAAAGAGGTATAGGGTGCATTTGATATGTTTTGGAACTCAATTTCAAAGCAATTAGCACGTCCTTTGTTGCCTGCAGTTAGGAGACATGCAGTTCCCACTTGGCAATGTAAGCATTCAAATCACCTACTTTGATACCTGCAAACCGTTTAGTTCTGATAATTCTAGTTTCTTGTCCATGTTATTCGAATCTTCTCTTCCCAGGAGCAACAAAATTAATTCTTTTATCTTTCTCTTTAATAGGTGCGCCTTCCAGATTTATATGTGACAGATCCTTACTGAGGCTGGATGAATACGAGCGAGAAAAGAAAAAGTGTCAGCTCAAAGTCAAGGATGTAGATTCCTTTTGGCTCAGAATATTCTCTTTGCAGGACTCTGGAGATGCCTTCGAAGATGATCTGAAATTAGCATGGCTCCTCGCAGACAAGGATCATTTACCCACTTTAGTTGAAATGACTGAGCAGTAAGTCCACCCTCTTCGACCACTCATAATTACTGCAAACATCATTCTTGTGCTAACAGTTTGATACATTTCCAGCTTTACTCAAAAGTGTTCCAAAGGTTCATTTGGTTCCTTTAAATTTGGGTCAGTGATGATGAGAACCTGTCACTACTTGAACAGCCCTGATGATGCCCTCAAAGCAAGTTTAAGCTCTTGCGGTATTCTTTGTTCCTTTATTAAGATGTTTTCAACAAGCTGACATTTCATCTTCTCTCTGCAGATAGCTGAAAGTGAAATACTCCGAAGATGGTTAAATGACCCTATATCAAATATTGTTCTCATGGATTTGTTGATTGAAAGTGGGCGCTCTAAAGAGGCTGCCGAGGTTTATGAAAAACTTTTTAAGAGTGAATGGTTTTTTGCTCTGCGAAACCCACTTATTCCAATTTTGTATGCCATTTCTCTTTACAAACAGGTGAGTAGAGGTAATCCTATGGCTTGTATATTTCTTTTGATGTGAGGCATAAAATCGTTCTTCTCTTCACACAGGGTACAGCTGACTCTTTTGACAGAGCAAATAAGCTGTGCTCAAATCTTGTTACGAAACTTATCTACAAACAAAAGATAGAAGATATTATTGCCGCCTTTGCATTGAAAGTTAAACAAGCAAATATTGCCAGGCATTTGGTCCAAAAGAGAGAAGCAAATTCTGAATTATCTTGGAACATTATGGTAAAAGATTGTGACTTGTCATGAGAGAAGGGCCCTTCTCTCATGCTGTTGTATCTCATTTTTCTGAGAAACTTCTTTTTTTTGCTCAGTTTTTATTACATTGGCCATAAATTTTCAGGTCCAAGCAAATGTGATGCAGTCCCATGAAGGTAGCTCAGTTCTTCAAAGAAGAATACTACAAAGAAATCAACATCATGTGTACAAGGACACAGTAAGATAAACTTTTTTCTAGAAAAGTGAAATTGTTGTCATATACTCATGCATTCTGATGTGTTATTATCTAGTTTGCAGCAATCCAGGCGACATACCCAGATTTGGTCAAATCCCTGAAGATTAAACCTATCAATTTGACGGTTTGTTCTGCTATCTGTTCAACAATTTTTCTCACCTTACATGTAAATTATCTTGACAAATTGTCAAAGAACATGTTTGGTTTCAGGTAGAGGAGCAGGTGTTGGGAACCATCCACATAGAAGACAAGGATCATGTAGAGGCCAAAAGAAAACGCTATTACTAAAGTTATTGAACCCGACATTGTGTCAAGATGTAAATACAAAATACTTTGTTACTGTTCTTAATAAATAAAGATAATTATGATATAATTTGTTTCTGCATCATTTTATAAACTTGTTCTGGCACTGACTTCGGACAAAGTTTGGTAAAAGCTAATAAGTTACTACATATTGAGACAATAGAAATTTTTATTTAGCATTATAAAAAGTAACGGCAATTATATTGAAATGGCAAAAGGTAACTAAAAAAAAGCTTATGGGCTCTAAGTTTCTTCATCGTCACTTTCAAATCTCTTGCGTTTGTTGACTTGATTTCCAGATCGTCTTGCTGATTTGGGCTTAATTTTGGCTTGGCCCGGCTCCCACAAACCACTTGTAACAAATCTTTCTGCTGCTTCTTGATCCACTCTTGGCATTAGTTTCCTGTCGTGGACCTGTTTGGCACGGGCCATGTACGTGCGAACTCGGTCAAGCTCATTCTGTCACAAACAAGAAAATGGTTATCAATTTTCAACAAATGAAATCAAATGATAAAATAAATTGAGAGTATTACTTTAACTCCATGCTGCTTGGGGTCAACTCCTTGTGTTCGTAGGTAACACCAAAATAGTGAATTGAGCGAATAGGACAAAAAGAGATCATATTCCACCTTCTCCTCGGATGACATATTTGAGTAAACGTCATTCCCACAGCATAATTGCAGACTTTCACCAATTTTATCAACAGAAGAATGAAATTTTTTGATAGAAGATTTGAATGGTTCATCATTGGCAAGTTCCCCAAAGGTATCTGCTTCATCAGCCATGTTCAGTCGGTGCGATAAAGCTTCCTGAAAATACAAAAACTGCATGTAAAATTTTACGTTTTGATAAAAAAGAATCAAATCTAAGTGTGCGTAACTTACCTAAATCAAGTAGGTTTTGTTTGTATTTTGGATCAAGTACAAGGACAACCTAACCTAACACTCGCGTGTAGAGTTTGGACAGTTAGATTTAGAAGGCCGTGGTTCAAATCGTGTGAATAAGTCCACAGCTGCCAATACAAGGAAATTGTTAAACCGTCTTACAAAAATGTTCAAACGCTAGAAGGGTACCTGTTGAAATTACTACCTTTCCAATTCATTGTTGACATTTCCAAGATTCTGCTGTTATGATGCTCTTTACGAGGCTTCGGAATTTCCCTCGTGTCACCGAACTTATGATCGGGCAACGGGGCTGTTGATGTTTGACTCGAAGGACGCGACGATGCCACTAAATTTGTTTTGTGGTAATCGTTATCACAAATTTTACGACTTTTTTTGTAGAAAGCATTGCAATATTTGCTGTGATTTTTTGTGACGCAATCGTCATGTTGGTTCAAACTGTCCTTTAGTTCTGATTACATATTTTGTTTGCCCCAATGGAAACGTCACACCGTGTGGGTTAGGTCACAATTTAACTAGTTCAATTATTATTTTGGGTGCCGCGTCGCTTGAAGCCTCCGAGACGCTGCGGCCTCACTTCGCCAAGGAGGTCTTTCACTTAATCTGAGAGTACTTTCCTACACATCGGCCACATGGAATCTTATCCAATGGTAAATTAGAAACCTTTCTTGAAAGGGCTGTTTACTCTCTTGACTTTCTCTTTTCTTTTGAAGAGCACGGATTCCTTTTAAATTTTGATTTAAAATTTAGCTTTGCCATGGTGATAATGTATACTGAGACCCATGGGTTCAAGCTCCATTCAATTATTGACACAAATCCTTTTACCCCGATTACTGTACATGGTTCCCCAAATCATGATTGTTTGAGAGGTTGGTTTCTGTCTGTTTTAGGCTTTGTCTTCAGAGGCAGATGTCCACTCTGGTCATTCTAACACAAGAAACGACGGTCAACATCATGGCCAGACAGATCAAGATCGACTAGCTCTGTTGCACCGCGCAAGAGCAAAGCTGAGTTTATCCAACCGAGGCGGACTTCTTCCAGAACCCTATCAAAATCCAGGGTTTCTACCTCAGGATTATAACGGTCCACCTAATGGTTTCTTTGCAGGGCAGGACCCTGGATTTCACTCATCGCATGAAAGTTATCCCAACACCATAGTTGAAAATCCTGCAGACCTTCTGAAAAGAGCCAGAGAGAAGTTAACCTTTTCAAATCGTGTTGAAGTTCATTCTAATGGCACCACAGCTGATCTGCAACCTGGTCCCTCCTCAGAGCATCGGCAGAAGAGAGAAGAGGTTGAAATCCAGGCAAGCTGTGAGCCTGATGTGTCTCCACTGGAACGACTCAGACTTGCCCGAGCGAGGCTTAGGTCGTGTGTTAACTCTCTTCCTGGATCATCAGCACCCGAACCTACAAGAAAGGTTGGGGAAAGGGAAGTTGAAAGAGAGTCTGAAGTGAAGCAAAGTCTACTTGGTCACTCTAGTCAGGCTCAAGTTCAACAGGATGTTTCTCAACAAGGTCAATCTCCAGAACAGATTCAGCAAGCTGTCTCCCCAGAACTTCAATCTTTAGAAAGGATCCAGCAATATGATTCCCCCGAAGTTGTTCATCATGGGGATGATATGGATATCGAATCAGAATCAGGCAGCGGCAGCCCATGGAGAGAAGAGGAAGTTGAAAATGCCCCAGCAAAAAGCACCTCTGAGAGCCACTTTGATTTTGGAATTGATGTTCGGAAAACTTTTCTTATGGAGCCTGAAATATTTGAACTACCTGTGAAACGCTCTTTGAAGGCTCAGAAAAATGTTGAATATCTAGAAGTAATGGAAGTGGATCCTTCCTGTACTGATACAAAATTAGAAGATAAATGGTCTCGATCTAAAAATAAGACTGAACGTAGAAAGCCTGTTGTGGATACTAATGATTTAGATTTATTTATTATTAATGAAACAAGCTCTTTCATGAGAGATAATTTATCAAGTAAGAAAACTAGTCACCCCACCAATCTCCAACAGGACCTCCATTTAGAACACATGGATGTTGGATTGGATGCATTGGAATCTGAACCAGAGGTTCTAGAAATCAAAGTTACGAACAAGACACGCACTTCCGAACACAAAAGGGCTCCTGTTGACCAGACTTCAAACCAGCAACCGCCTCCTCCAAGTGAGACATTGCTCAAGAATCCATCTGCCTGTAAAAATTTAACTGGATTCACAGTGCCTCCTCCTTCGTTGCAAACTCACCTAGGAGTCAACTCTTCCATTTCTGCATTGCCCTCAATGGTCTCCCCTCCAGTGCCTGTTCCACCACCTCAGTTTGCTGTCAATTCCATACCTACCCCTGTACCTCCACCTTCAGTGCCAAAGCCAGTGCCACCACCATTTGCTACGTTTGCTGCTGTACCAACACCTGTACCTTCTCCTCTAGTCACCATGGCCATTGCCCACTCTTCAGTTCTGCGAAATACCTCTAGCGCGCCTGCTCCAGTTCCTCCGCCTCAAGTTAACTCCAGTGTTAAGCCTGAATCTATGAGCCAACTTGAAAGCTTCCTAGGCTTCTCATTATCTTCAATTCTACCTCAATTAGAGAGCAAGCTTTCATCTGTTCCTCCTGAGAAGGCGTCCAAATCTTCTAGCAAGCCTGACAGAGCCATATCGTCTAGTGCAGCCTCGAAACCTAACAGGACTGCTCATGTGCCACCCGCATCAACCAGCAAATCAAGCAAGACTGCTTCTCTGCCACCTGGAACAACTGGAACAAGCAAAACCAGTGGGAGCTCTCCTGCGCCACCCTCCACAACCAAATCAAGCCAACGCTCCCCTGTTCCACCAACTACAAGCAGCATATCCAGCAAGACTTCTACAGCTCCGCCACATGTTTCTAGCAAATCCACAAAGCCTTCCTCATCATCTTCGAAACCACCAAAGCCAACCTCTTCTTCATCCGTTGCCGCTGAAAAACCTGTCCCTGTAACAGAGGACTCGACGCAAGCTTCTTCTGCAGACCTTCCTTTTGCCCAAGCTCCACCGCTTCCTCCCAAGGAGGCGGCTTTGGAACCCCAAGCAGATGCAAGGGACAGCACGCAAGACTCTCTATTCTCGCTGATCCCACCACCCCCACCCGCTGACTCTGTGGATTTGGACGAAATGGAGGATGTCGACTTCTCCTTCACCCGCCTGCCGCCTCCGCCTCTGGGCTCTGGGGACTTCGCCTTCACGAGGATGCCGCCGCCGTTCTTCAGCGCTGACTCTGAGCAAGCCGCCAACAGCCACAACAATCACCACATGCCGTTCACCCGCTTCCCCCCGCCCCACCAGCCACACCATCACCAGCCCCACCAGCCTCACCACCACCAGCCCCACCACCAAGGACCTCCCCGCCACCAGGGACCCCAGTTTAGGCCCCATGGCCCCACGTGGCAGCAAGGCAGACCGTCCGGACCAGGTCCTGGCCAAGGGCAAGGGAGGGCCCTGTTGCCTACACCAGTCAGGCCTCACTCTGGAGCAAGGCCTCCGCTCCTGCCCACACCCAAAGCCAACTTCCGCTCCGGGAGGACACGGTGGGGTGACTACAGCCCAGTGGAGGAGGTGCAGCCCAACAACAAGCCGGATGAGAAGCCAGCCGAGAAGCCTGCCCCCAAGTTCCACCCTGAGCAGCACTGGCACGGTGACGGCAAAGGGTTCGTGCCCAGCAAGTCGGACAGAGCTTCAACCCACCGCAAGCATGACGGGGCAGATTCAGACTCGGATTCCTCTATGGGTGCCTATGACGGATCAATGCATGATGCTGACGACTATCCATCTGCTGATGAGATGGAGACGGATACCTCCAATCTCAAAACAATGTCTGATAGTCATAAAAAGCAGGACACCAAGGTAGAGAAATTTTCATCTAAGAAGGCTAGTACTGAGCTTACCTTAAAGATAGAGAGTTGCACCTCTACGAAAAAGTTTGAGACTGATCGTAGTGACCGCCCAGCCCACGAAAGGAAATCTCATAAGTCGACAGACAAGTCTCATTCCAACATTCAACCAAGCGTGGCGCCACCTATTAAAATAAAATTAGAGGCTGTGGATCCTGAACTGCCGATGGATATTATGGACTTCCCCGTAAATGTCAAACCTGATCCTGATGGTCCCGACTCTCTCTCTCTCCACACAAGCATTGAGCTGGACGTAGAGCATCAAGCTGTTGTTAAAATTGAGCCAGGCACCACTCAACCAATGGAAACGATTGAAGAAAATTCTTACCTGTGCACGGAGTGTGGAAAACGATTCAATGATAGATTCAATCTGGAAGCTCATTTGTATGATCATTTAGCAGAGTTTACTGGAAAGCATCCTTTTAGGTGTCCAAAGTGTCCAGGAAGGTAAGTGTTCATTTCTAGTATGACATGAATTCAATGTTTTATGTGTGAATTCTCACTAGTCACTATGTTTTCTTTCAGAGTGTTCAAAGATATGAAGTTACACCGACATCACCATTTGATGGGTTTGGAGTGTGACGTCTGTGGAGAGGCATTCCATGCTGCTATTTCTTTAGCAGAACATCGGATGCGAGTTCACATGGCTAAGAAGAGTTATTCCTGTGGTGTTTGCAACAAGAGGTACCTTTCATCCTCTGACCTTGCGCATCACCAAAAAAGGCGTCATTCTAAGCCAAAGAAATTCAAATGTAAAAGATGTGGTAAATGTTTCAACCATTCGGATTATTTATCAAAACACGTACAGAAGTACCACTCAGAGGATCGATCTTCAGGATCTAGAGATCATCCCAAAGAAAAGGACAAGGAAATCAAGGAAAAGGACAAGCAATCATCAAAGTAAGTAGGAGCTTTTTCATGTTTTTCAGTTTTAGTGGGCGGAGGGGTGCAAATTTCTTCTTGAAGAACTACTTATTTCTAATTTATTTTAGACAATTGGCAATATCCGAGTCACTTTCATGCTCACATTGCAAAGAGAACTTCACCACCAAAGACCTGTTGGATGAGCACATTGAATCAACTCATACAGAGACCAAAGACAAAAGTAATTCTTGTGAAGTTTGCGATCAGACTTTTACTTTGGTTGAAGATCTTCAGGCTCATGTAGTCACACATGGAGAGAATCCTTTCACGTAAGAATTCATTCAATTTAGCTGAGTACAGGGCCTTTGTTTTACTTTTGTCTCATTTTTTTTTTCTGTAATAGATGTGAAGACTGTGATGCAAAATTTCCTCATAAACAAGAACTTAAGGATCACAGTAAAAAGCACAGAATTCACAAATGTGTTTTGTGTGGTTATATCACATCCTCATCATCAAACCTACTGAAGCACATGAAAAATTATCATAAAGATGATGTTTTTGAGTGTAGGAACTGTGATAAGTGGTTTCCAACTGAAGATGGACTTAAAGATCATGAGGAAACTGAGCATAAAAAGGTTGGTTTCTTGTTTTATTTATTTTGTATATTATTTGTTCCGAGTTATTTCACTTTCAAATACCAATTTGCAATTTTTCATTTTATTGTCTTTCTGTGTTACAGTGCCATGATGACATTAAAATAGAACCTGTGGACTCAATCGGAAGTAACTCAGAAGGAAAGTGAATTTCAAGAGTTCCTGCTTGTCAGCTTTTATGGACTATAGACTGAAGTCAATTAAACCAATGGAATCTGTTGACTTGTATGCAATGTTTTGCTTCATGATATGTGTAATTCATGATGCACCAGGACTGGCTGAGATAGATTGTTTCTAGTTCATTTTTTCCATGAACATTTTCACGTGTCTTGTTATTGACTGGGGACCATGTATGTGTTTTTAGTTTTTGTTTTTGTTTCAGTAAATACATCACATTAGTTCTAGCCCGATAAATTTTATCTTTGTTAGGTATTTTAATGAATGTTGGCAGAAACTACCGTATTACTGTATGGTTTTGAGTGCCATGTCCAGCGGAGTATTTTTTCTGGGTAGAAGTAATTAGTCCTCCTAAAAGTAATGCAAATTTGTGATGGGGTTTTGAGTTTTGTTATCTTCCACTGAAATTTCCCTGTTTTAAACAATTTTCTTTCAAAGCAATAATTTATTTGCTTGTTGGGTTTGCTCATAGAAACGTTGTGATCTTGTGGTTTATTCATGTGGCTATCATTATGACAATGTTCTTGAATAATAATGGTCTCATAAATATATAAAATGTTTATTTTGTTGTTTGAGCGTCACTAGAATTCACATTACACCTCATGTATGTCAAAGTGTTATTAAGTTTCCTGTTGATGTTGGCGTTGGCTTGAAGTGTGCAATAAAAACCTATTTATTTTACTGTAACAGTTATTTTTTTCCCCATTCCTGACTCTTTGGGTCTGACTCAAGCTGCCTCACGCATTCAATTTTAGTCAGGGAAAATTTGAAAAGATCGTGACAGAATGGATGCACTTGACACTAGTGCCTGAAAACTTTTGAAAGTCCTGGGGGTTTTTGCTGAGCCAGAGGGGAAGCCGGTGTGAACTGAACTCCGTCTCGTTCAAATTCGAGCGGGAGATAACGTACAGTCCATTTGTCCATTTGGTTCAAATTCGAGCGGGAGATTGCGTATAGTCCATTTCGATCAACTGTTCAAAAAGTTGAAACGAGCTGCAGTCGCGCTCGTGCGGCACCAGTCCCACCATCGGGCCAGTACTGCGTGAACGAGCTGTACCAGCGTGCGCTGCGAATAGTGGCCCCTTATCGATTGTCGTGCGCATACACCCACGCCTTATCGGCAGGTCACTCGGTTCGCGGGTCTCGCGGCACCGCGTTCGGTGTTCGGTTCGGTTCGCTGTTTGGTGTGGTGTCCCCTCTGCCGGTGGGCGGATCTCCCATTCCAGCTCCGTAGTGGCTTTCTTTTTAATTTCCCGATAGTGTTTATGTTCGGCATCCATGTAGACCTATATAACAGAAGCGCGAGCGCCGTGGGTGAGGACGGAAGCTTCTCAAGTGAACGACGAAGGTGAATGTCTATTCATTGGCGATCAAATGGGTGCGCTTAGGAGCTTAGCAGAAACCGAAGGGTGCCATAACCCCCGCTTTGACACTTGAGTCTTTCAGTTTTCTGAATTTTTCCTTTGCTTTCGTTATGGTTGCTTGACAATTTCGTTTTCTCAGTTTTCATTGTAGCTGCACATTTAATTTTTAACAAATGCTTTAATTACTTTACAAATCCTCTTTACATTGCATGAGTTTTGAGATAAAAACTTCTGTTTTTAATTTTTTAAATTAAGCTTTCAGAAATTTCCTTAGTGGAACTTCTAAATTGCTTACTTTTTGTTAACGTAATATGTTTCACATGATGTCTTGAAACTTTAGTGATCATTGGACCTTTTATTTCCTTATAACCTATGAGAAGTTTTAAATAGTGCTATTATGTAATTTACAAATTTTGTGTTATCTCTTTTGCAGAGCTCAAAGATGCTTACCAGTTGGACGAAACATTTACTTCACTGCATTCTTTTATTTTGTGTGCTTCTGGTTTACCAAATTGCTACCGGTGGAATACAATTTGGAAACAATGAATCTCTGAACTTTGATCCATGGGAACGATATGGACTTGCGGGAGCATTCGTCCTCTACCTCTTAAGACTCTTTACAATTTTACCCTTGCCTCAAGTATTATTCAATCTGTATGGACTTACACGTTATAATGCTTTCCCAGGCAAGGTAAAACTTACTGGATCACCCCTGTTGGCTCCATTCATTTGTATTCGTGTTGTGACCAGAGGTGATTACAAAGAACTAGTGAAGAACAATGTTTCCCGTAATATGAAGCAGTGCTTGGATGCAGGATTGGAAAATTTCCTCATAGAAGTTGTGACAGACAAGCCGATTGGTTTACCAGAGCACAGAAGAACAAGAGAGATTGTTGTGCCAAGCACGTATCAATCAAAAAGTGGCGCTCTCTTCAAAGCAAGAGCATTACAATATTGCCTAGAAGACGGAGTGAACATCTTGAACGACAATGACTGGATTGTTCATCTTGATGAAGAAACCCTTCTCACTGAAAATTCAATACGAGGGATTCTCAACTTTGTCCTTGATGGCAAAAACCATTTTGGACAAGGACTCATCACCTACGCCAATGAAGATGTGGTGAACTGGTTCACCACTGTGGCAGACAGCTTCCGAGTGGCAGATGACATGGGAAAGCTGAGATGTCAGTTCACCGTTTTCAACAAGCCCTACTTCAGCTGGAAGGGGTCGTTCGTCGTAACTCTGGTGAGTATTCTCCTCTTCTCCGTCATTGCGAATGTTTAGAGGTGTTGCTAGTGGAACCCCTGTGGCACTCGGTGTCAGACGATGATGACTCATTGGACGCTGCGGCCTTGGCAGTGTGTTGGTAGAGCAAAGAAGTGTCATTGTTAGGACTCGGGCTGGGGCAAGGCTGGGGCAGTCCGTGGGGCTGTGTGGGGTAAGGTCAGGTCGAGGCGGTCGGCCCGGGCCGGGCCGCCGAGGTGGCCGCCGAGGTGGCCGCCGAGGTGGCCGCCGTGCCGTGCCTTTCGCCAATGCTTGGGCTATCGGCCCGTCTGGCCCGTCGCTATCGCTCGGCCGCGGCGCTGCAGCAGACTGCGTCGCTCCGTCTCTCTCGCACTCATGGGGCGTTCCGTACAGGTGCGAGAGAGACAGAGCGACGAAAAGGACAGCTCCTCGACGCTATCGGTACATCGCGCCGCCTGATAGCGAGTCCATCGCGGCCCCGTGCACGCCGGGCCGGGTACGCTGGCGCTATCCGCCACCTGACTGCCTCATTCTGGGAAATCTGGCTGCCTCCCTCCAATAACATTTTTATGACATGAACTGGTTTTGTGCGAATTCACCCGGTGGGAGCCCAGCCCAGCCCCTCCCTGAGGACGGCCTGGAGGTTCCTAGAGCTCTTCCCGGCGAGAGGGCGGGGCGGGGCGGGGCGGGGCGGGGCGTGGGCGTTGTAACGAAGCCCCGCGGCAGGGCCAGGACGGCAGCCTCCGCGTTTTAGCGTCCCGTCGTCCCGTCCTGCTAGAGAGAGTGCCAAGTGGGTGACGAGTGCTGGGAGGGGAGGGGGGGGGGAGGGGGCTCCGCTCTTGCCCACCGCCACTGCGCGGCCTGGCCCGGCCCCGCCCGGCCCCATCGGGGTCACCACGGTGGGCCCGGCGGGGTGCGCGGCCCGGCGCGGCTGGCGCGGCCTACCGGAGGGGCTCTCGTCCTTCTCCAGGGACTTCAGGGACAAGGCTCGGGGTTGAAAATGCCGCCGGGGGAAGGGGAAGGCCCTTTGGCTTGGAAATTCGCCGCTGCGGGATGGCGCGGGAGCGCGGGGGGTAAAGGGAGTATCGAAGCGAAGGAGGAGGGGCAGATGGCCGCCTCGTTTGTTTCCCGCCGTCGCTCTGTCTCTCTCGCACGCGCACGGATCACGGATGGGATCACGGAGTGCGAGAGAGAGAGAGAGAGAGAGAGAGAGAGAGAGAGAGAGAGAGAGAGAGAGAGAGAGAGAGAGAGAGAGAGAGAGAGAGGACGGAGGCCGAGGGCCCTCAAGGGATCGATATGCCAAATCACGTTCATCAGTACGTCACGCACGTCGGCGCGTCCGGCGCGCTGCCCGTGCCGTCCGAGCACCGCGATGACCGCCACGACCACCACGACCCTGGCCGTCGACGCCGCGCCGCGCCGCGGAAGCACGTGGTCCGCGTGGCCGTGGTGCCCGGGCTCCGCCTGGCCCGCGCCCAACTCGGCTTCCGAGAAGCGCGTGTAATCAGAAAGACGAACATAATGAGTATTTTTTGAACGCGCCGAGAGCTTTTGGCGTCCGCGTCGAGACCCTGGGCGGCGCACTGTAAAATACAGAAAAGCTGAAACGCCGAGTGTGGGCGCCCGCTTCACTTGTCGCTTGCTCCTCTCCAGCCGGCGGGGCGGGGCGGGGCGGGGCGCGTGTTCGCCGGGACTGCCCTTGCCCGTTCCGCAGGCGCTGAGGCGCGCTGAGGTCTCGAGGGCCCCTTAAGGGCTTGCTGCTACTGCTTGCTCCTTGCTGCGGGCCGCAAGACCCAGCCCCGCCCAGCAGGTCGCTCTCTCTCTCTCTCTCTCTCTCTCGCACCCCTACGGGACTCTGCGTGGCAGGCACGGGCGCGCTGCGATGGGGTGAATTGGTGTGCATGACGCTCCGGGCCGCCGTCAGGGCGGTCCTGTTGTTCCGAGCCGTGCCCGCCTCTGGCATCACACAGTGGGCCAGAAGACCGGTGGAGGCGGCCAAAACTCAAGACGCGTTTTGAGCTCCAGAGTCGCTAAATGGGACTCGAACCGAACGTGTGACCCCACCAATGAGTTGCTCTCCGAACGAGGAATCCATTGGTGGGGTGTTCGGTTCGAGTCATGTTTAGCGACTCTGGAGCTCAAAACGCGTCTCGAGTTTTAGTCACCTCGACCGGTCCTCTGGCCCACTGTGCATCAGCACATGCTGGCGGCAGCAACAACAACAGCCTGAGCGTTGGCTTTATTTTTGTTTTTGCTGTCGATGCACCTGGGCCTGCCCGTGGCCCTGGTGGCCCTGGCGGTGGCGGCCCTGGCGGCCCTGGCACGACGTATGAAAAGTTAATCTGGGACGGATTAAGACGCGACGCGGCCTCACTAACGAAGGGCCGCACGGCGCCGCGGCACGCGAGTCCGCCCTCGAACATCATTCATTCATTCATTCATTCATTCATTCATTCATTCATTCATTCATTCATTCATTCATTCATTCATTCATTCATTCATTCATTCATTCAGTAATCATTTATTAGTCATTCAGTCATTTATTAGTCATTCAGTCATTTATTAGTCATTAAGTCATTCATTAGTCATTAAGTCATTCATTAGTCATTCAGTCATTTTTTAGTCATTCAGTCATTTTTTAGTCATTCAGTCATTTATTAGTCATTCATTCATTTTTCATCCGTTTCGTTCTTTGATTTTTTTCATTCATCCATTCATTCATTTATTTTCATTCACCCTGATATGGTTTTTCCCCGTAGTAAACGCTGCTTGCGTGTCTCGTGATAACGACTCGACGTAGGAACTCTTTCGTCACTTCGATCCTGCGTCACGTTGACCCTGCTCCAATAGCGTCACCGGGCTAGACACTGCGGTCCTTTACCGGCTGCCTTGTCCTCCCTCTCTCCGTCGCGAGCCGCGTGTGTCTTTCTCCGACTTGACGAAAGAGCCTTGCCGGGAGGGGGAAACCTGGGAGCAAGTAAACTCACATGATGACCCAGTTCGCTGGCTTTGGTCGGTATGTGCCCAGAGTCGGTGCGCGCGTTCTTTCTGTCTGTCTGTCTGTCTGTCTGTCTGTCCGTCCGTCCGTCTAGCCCGGCGTGGTTCACCTCTCCCTTGCGTGAGTCACCTCTGCAATGTAAACATATGAACGATAAGCAACTTATCCGCACAATTTCCTCATGTACTTTCTAGAGTGTGGCAGATGGCGGTGGCTCGATCCCTAGGCCCACCGGGGGGAAAATGGGGGGGGGGGGGTAATTTTGCCGAGGCAGGGTTACCGCCGGCGAAGTGACCGTCTGGGGAGACGTTTGGGCCGTGCTTCGTGGAGGCCGTGTCGCCGTGAGTGTCACGCCAGGGACGCCCCCGCCGTGGGCCGGAAGACCGGTGGAGGCGGCCAAAACTCTAGACGCGTTTTGAGCTCTAGAGTCGCTAAATGGGACTCGAACCGAACGTGTGACACCACCAATGGATTGCTCTCCGAACGAGGAATCCATTGGTGGGGTCACACGTTCGGTTCGAGTCCTGGTTAGCGACTCTGGAGCTCAAAACGCGTCTAGAGTTTTGGCCGCCTGCGCCGGTCTTCTGGCCCACCGTAATGTGCGACCCTGACGCCCTTGCTTTTGCCAGGGAGGGCACACACGAGCACACACCTGCACGCGAGACTACAGCAGGGGACCACAAAAATGAAAACAGTAGGTGTGATTTATTTGCCAAAGATTAAGTGTTTGTCGATTACTTTGTCTCCACTCGTGCGACCACTTGTGGCGTTTGTCGTCACGCGTCTCAAAACGCGTCTAGAGTTTTGGCCGCCTCCACCGGTCTTCTGGCCCACTGTACGCCGCACATCCTCTGCGTGCACGCCGCGGAGCGAGATCCGCTTTCGGCTGCACTTGGTGCCACTGTAGTGGGGCCGTAATCTTAGAGCCGCCGCTTATCTGGCGAGAACGTCCTGTGACGTCACGACCAACCAGTGTGCCTTGCACAGCCAAAGAAAAAGTTGAATCAATGACGAACGGTCCTTCGTTCTTCCCTCCCGACGAGGCAACATCATAGTGACCGTACCACAGTGGGCCAGTGGCCGGAAGGCTAGACGCGTTTTGAGCTCCGGAGTCGCTAAACAGGACTCGAACCGAACGTGTCACCCTACCAATAGACTCCCCTGGAGAGCAATCCATTGGTGGGGTCACACGTTCGGTTCGAGTCCCATTCAGCGACTCTGGAGCTCAAAGCGCCTCTAGAATTTTGGCCGCCTCCACCGGTACTTACCCCTTGTTTTTTTGCGTGCACCGGGCGGGTAGCTCGGCGAGGGGGTAAACACTCTACGAAATCGTGTACAGAGTACTCGGTATTACGCGGTATTACGGGGACATTACACGTGTATAACGGCACTGAAATGCCAAAATTTGACATATTTAGCCCCAAAATGGTATTACAATTACGTGTATTACGCGTAATACACGATTTTTGTGTACAGGGTATTACGCGAGTGTTTACCCCCTCGGTGCTCGGCTGCTCGCGGCTCGGGGGTAAAGGGGAAGTCTTAGTAAGTCTTCTAAGTGGCTGGAGGGGGTCACGCCCTAGTCCCGGTCCTTGAGGAACTCTCGGAGGAAATCAAACACGTCCTTTGGGGGCGCGGTCCGACAAGAGCACCCCAAACGGCTGGGCTGGGGGAGGCTCGCCTGGATGGTCCTCAAGTCGGGAGTGCATGCGGAACAAGGAATTCGTAAAGGACCTGCTATCCTCTGCCTGGCCGTTTTGCAACGATCCTGACTCGCGAATGCGCGTCACACAGTGGGCCAGAAGACCGGCGCCGGCAGCCAAAATTCTCGACGCGTTTTGAGCTCCAGAGTTGCTAAACAGGACTCGAACCGAGTGTGTGGCCCCACCAATGGATTGCTCTCCTAACGTGGTATCCATTGGTGGGGTCACACGTTCGGTTCGAGTCCCGTTTAGCGACTCTGGAGCTCAAAACGCGTCTTGAGTTTTGGCCGCCTTCACCG